GCAGCTTGTTTGTAAAATTGCATTGGTGCTCATGGCAGCAGCCCAAGTCCTCACTTTGGTCATTTAATCATGTTGTTTGTGCATCTTTTTCCTATGATTTCTTTTCTTGTCTGGGTCATGCTGTCCTCTGCCGATTCAAATGTTTACATCTTGCCTCTGGTCCTTCTGGTGGTAAAATCTTTCCTTACGGAAAACACTATGTAAGATTGGACTACTTATTCAAAATTTTTGCTGTTCCAGTCTATAGAGCATGATTATATTAGATCTTCCTCTCCTGGGGTGAAACATACTTCTTATGCCAGAGTACGAATGAAATGATGAAGGTTCTGTACACAAAGAAGTTTTAAGAACTTTCATTCCAGGCTCTCATATATCCACAGTTTCAGTCAACCGGAGTCAGCCATACTGAAGACAGTACCTGGAAAATTCCAGGAAGGATATATTTTAAAGGGCATGCCACCCTGCCCAGCTGGTAGAATCTCATGCTACCTTCTTCCTATGCAAGATAAGAATCAAATCACTGGGTAGTCATGAGGAAAGAAAACTAGCCATGTCTCAGGTAGTGCTACCCCTTAGTGTCCAGAAAGACTTATAGAGCAGAATCACAGTACACGTGCAGCTGCCAAATAATTATGAGAGAAGCAAGCCTTTCTCAGGACTCATTCTGGGATTCACAGATTGTTATCACAGAGCACTGTAGTAAAGCTCCCTGATGTGTCAATCCCTTCCTCACTCCCAGGACAATTCACTGTTTATAGAAAGACAGATGAATAGGTAGATGGACAGATAGATAGACAGGAGTCTCTAGTCTAGGAATGCTTGTAAATCTGTGTATCTGGGATGACCTTTCTTCTCATGGTGATACATAATGACATAATGTCCCCATGATGAAATGGAGGTGAGTGGCAGACATTGTGGTATAGCAGTGGGCCACTATGTCAGGGTTTCTTGAACACGTGGACTGAAGTACTGATATTACAACACTCTGAAGATGGAGATGGTCATTATGTGACTATCCAGTGATTTGATTCTTATCTTGCATAGGAAGAACGTAGCATGAGATTCCATCGGCTGGCAGATGGCATGCCCTCTAAAATGTACCCTTTCTGGAATTTTCCAGGTACTACCTTCAGTATGGTTGAGTGCAGTTGACTGAAACTATGGAGAAATGAGAGCCCAGATTTGGAGGAGCTATTGTAGATAATTAAAAGGTTAATGCTTGCTGTTTTTAATAATTATGTTTATGTGTCTTGAGAGAAGTACACATCACTATTCTTATGCTTTCCCATTCATAGCTCATCATATACCATATTACCATCTCAAAAGACACTAATTAATCTATTAAATAGCCTTTGACAAGTCATAACACACCTACACAGTGATTTTCTGATTATGACTGATAACAGTGTCTATAACCTGAAAATGTTGTCAGTTCATTAGAAAAAGATGGAACCAAAAATGTTTATATATGTTTGTGAATTTTTCATGGAGTACTGTACCAGATATATCTAGAAAGAAATTTGACCTTATAGTTTTACACACTCTTGGTGTTTTAAACTTAGTTTTTTAGCAACTAATTTTTATTTTATTTTATTCTATTTCTAAAAGTATTGATTGGTGCTTGAAATTAAAAAGCTTCTCCATAAGCAATTTGAGAAATACCAACCTAAGTTAAACACTAGACATTAACTTTGGAGAAAACCTTTAAAGTTAACCATTTAACATAAGATAATGTATTTAGACTATAATTTTTTGTAATAACTCTTGTATGCATGTATGTGTGCAATGTATATATGCATGTGGATGGACATGCACCTGTGTGCATTTGGAAGCCTGAATTTGACATCCAGTGTCTTCCCCAGTCTCTCTTCATCTTATACATTGAGGTCTCTCCCTCGAACTCAGAACTTGATGATTCAGGTAGTCTAGCCAGCTACCTTGTGTCAGGAAACCTGTCTCCACCTCCTGTGTGTCATATTTTTAGGTGGGATGACCATGCCCATCAGCATTTACCTGGGTGCTGGGGATCTGAACTCTGGGCCTCATGCTTATATGGCAAGCACTTTACCCTGTAACTCACCTCTCCAACTCCCCCATTTAAATGTGCATATGTATGTTTGTATTGTGTGTACTTGTACAGGGCATGCACTCATGTACATGGAGGATACCTGTGCCTCAGGTGCCTGTCCTAGTTTGGTTCTCTGTTGCTGGGATAAGCGCCATGGCCAAAAGCATCCTGTGGAGGACAGGGTTTATTTGGCGTACACACTATCACAGTCCATCACTGAGGAAGTCAGGGAGGAGAGTGGAAAGCTGCTTACTGGCTTGCTTCACAGGACCTGCTCAGCTTGCTTTCTAACCCTCCTCGGAGGGATGGTGCTGCCCTTAGTGGTCTAGGCCTGCTCCTATCAATCACTAGTCAAGAAATGCCGTACAGGCATGCCCATGGGCCAATCTGATGGGGATAATTCCATAACTGAGGTTCTGTCTTCCCAGGTGACTCTGGTCTGTATCAAGTTGACAGAAATTGAACAGCTCACTACCTCTCTTGTTTTTGAGACAGAGAAAGGTTGATGGGGTAGAAAAGCAGTAGACTCTTTCAGACTCTTATAGATATTGATGTTTGTCAAAGTGTTTTATTTGACTACTTATCCTGTTGGCCTATCAGAGATATACAATTAAGATCTCTTGAAAAATTAGAGATAAAAATAATTGCTTCCCATCTGTCTTTCATGGAAACTGGAAGAGAACCATCACGTGGGAGGCTGAGGCAGGTGGATCTCTGTGAGTTCCAGGCCAGCCTGATCTACAAAAACTGAGTACTAGAACAGCCTCCAAAGCCACAGAAAAACCCTGTCTGGAAAAAACAACTCCCACGTCCCCCTCCCCCCCCAAAAAAAATAATGGAAGAGAAAGGTTAATTCTTTTGAGGCTAGTTATTGAACTGACCTGCCTCCATCTTGGGCCTGAAAGCCATTTTATGTTAAAAACAAACTAGGCTCATTCCTGTTTATGATTAAATCTGTTTCTCAAGGATTGGGCTACGCCCCACCTGTAGCCTTAACTACAACTGGTTCTGTACTGCCTGTTCCAGAAAACAGCAACCATGCCTTTGTTTCAAAAAGGTTGTCATTATTACCTGTTGTTGTGACCACCTTACAGTCATGCCTTTGTTTCATGAGACTGTCATGACCAACTTGTTATGCTTATGCTCTGCTTCTGTAACCCCACCCATATAAAAACCTTATATTCCCCACTTCCAAGGCTGATTTGTTGAACCCCATCTTTAGGGAGAGACAGTTCATGTAAACAAATAAAAATAGCTTGCTTTAATTAATTTGTCCATGATGATTTGAGTCAGTGGTCTTTCTCCTTGAATCTGTGGAATGAACATAATCACATATTCATTCATTCATAACTTTTCTAGTTTATATAGAACACAATTGAGACAGGTTGATCTTGTGGGGAGTGTACTTACAAATTGTTAAGGTTTTGGATCTGAACTATCTCCCACAGGCTCTATGCTTTAAAGACTAGCTTGTTAAATGATATTGTCACTGGGAGATAGTGGGAACTTTAGGAGTCGGGGAGTAGCTAGAGTCCCCTTTAAAGGTGAATCATAACCTCCCTCTCCCTCCATTCCTCCTTACCTTCCTTCTGATCACCTGGAGATGAGAGATTTTTATACCATATGTTCCCAGCTAGGATGTTTTCTTTTACCAAAAGCTCAAAAAATGGAGTCTGGTGACCATGGACTGGAATCTTTGAAACCACCAGCCAAAATAGATCTTTCATAACTGTCACAGTAATGGAAAGCTAGCACAAAAATTATTTCCTAGGTTCTATAAATTAAGGTTTTCATTAAAAGGAATCAGGTAATTGCATTAAATTAAATCTAATTAGCATCAACACAATTATATTTATCTTAGCAAGGAATTTCTTAAAAGATTCTTTTATTTACAGAAATAATTTTTGCATTAATTTTACCTTCCACATGGAGGCAGAATCACAACTAGAAACACTCCTCTAAGACGATCCTTCTTGTGTCCCGAGTAACACAAAGTCTCTGTCACTAACATTCCCCCTTTATCCAGTTCCTGTTACCACAGTCCACGTCCACACTCCCTTCCTGCCTTGCAAGGGAATCTGAAGCAGCCCTGGATCTGGCGAGGCTAAGTTTGTCCTCTGTGTTAAGCCGCCGCTCCAGCAGTGTTTCGCGTCCAGTTCTTTTTTTGCGAATTTGCCATTTTCTCCCTCACCCTCTCTTGACTCCCCTTCCTACACTTTATGCGCCCGCTGTAGACACACGTCAAGCCACACTGGCCTGAGAACTTCAACTCTCTCCTCCTAGGTCTTACGAGGGTCAGAGCTGGAATACACGGGTCATTTTCAGCGCTTTCCCTCCCGTGCCCCTCTAGGGGTGGCCGTTCCTACCTTCCTCCTGCCAGCCATTGGCTCGTGGTCTGCGATCCTTTAGTTCCCTAACGGCCACCGCTTACTAAAGCGGTTACATTGTTTACATCCATGCACCCACCGGCTACAGTCTGAGTGCGTCGGGTTCTCCCCACACGCGTGCGGCGCCCGTCGCTACCCGAGCCTCGTCCTCCAACACCTCTGCCCCTTGGCGACCCCAGGTGTCTCCGTGTCCCCCTTCCCACCTCACCCCTCCATCCCGCGTTCCTCGACTCCACCGCCCCCGGGCCGGGCCTCCGCATCCTCGCGCCCGCTCTCTGACGTTGCGGGAGCCGCTTCCTCCAGGGAAACTCCCCAGTTAGTGCAAAGCCCCCACCCAGCTCGCCCGGCTCCCCTTCTCCCTCTCCCCCCGACCCAGCTCGCCTGGCTCCCCCTCTCCCCCCGACCCAGCTCGCCCGGCTCCCCCCCTCCCTCCCTCCAGGCAGGACTCAGGCTGGGCGGGTCAGGGCGCATGCGCAAGGCCCGCGTTTCAGGGCCGGGGGTTGGGGGGGTGGGGATGGAGGTGGTCCCGGCTCCCGACAGCCCCCGCGCGCGGGGCAGGCTGGGGGAACATGGCCGCTTCCGGTCTCGCTCTCGGGCTGGCGCGGGACTGACAGCCGCTGCGGCCCCGTGCGCTCCGCTTCCCCGACTCTGCGTCTCTCGCCCGCGGCCGCGCAGGGTTCAGCGGCCTCCCGTCCTCGCGCCATGGAGAAGAGCTCGAGCTGCGAGAGTCTCGGCGCGCAGCCCCCCGCGGCACGGCCGCTCAGTGAGGACTCACTGTCCAGGTGAGGCCGGGGCTGCTCCCGGGAGGAGAGGGTGGAGAGGCCGGGGCTGCTCCCGGGAGGAGAGGGTGGAGAGGCCGGGGCTGCTCCCGGGAGGAGACGCCGGGGCTGCGGGAGGAGAGGATGGAGACGCCGGGCCTGCGGGAGGAGAGGATGGAGAGGCCGGGGCCAGGGCTGCGGGAGGAGAGGGTGGAGAGGCCGGGGCTGCGGGAGGAGAGGGGAAGAGCAGACCTGTGCGGGGCTGGAGAGCCCGGCAGAGCCAGGCTTCGAAGCTTCTCCGGGCCCTCGGTGTGAGAGGTGGAAATGCAGTTTCTTAGTGGCCGATGCTCTTCTCGTTCCTGCTCCGTTTCCGCTCGTGAAGGTTTTTACTCAAAGGGCTGGACATTTTCTCTCTTCTGCCCTCCCTGCCACAGGGCTTGGGGGCCAGCACACGATCAGACAAGTGGCCTTTGGGGCACATTCAGAGACAAGGGTGCTTAGGTTTAAAATGGGGCGGGGACGGAGCCCCGCAGAGCCAGTTTCTTAGCTTAAACCTCAGTGACGTTACCAACAAGTAGTGTACATTGTATGTGGTGTGTGTTTGGGACTCTCTTTAATTAACTGTAGGTAATGGCCTCGTTCTAGAAACTTGTTAGCTTAGTTTTTTTTTAAGTTTAATGTAGGCAAACAGTCACAGGTGATTCTCATGTACAGGCAGGGTAGACGGTGTCATTTCTACTAGTGGATTTTCAAGTTTTGTTAGTCTACAGAGTACTACAAGCAAAGTATGGATATTTTCCTATATGGTAGCTCAGCTATTTCTGACCTGTCTCTCTAAAGGTGTACTTTTTTTTTTATTCAGAGCTTGAATAAACTATCTTACGAATTTGCTTTCATATACTCTACAAAATAATCTTTAACACTGCCTAATGTATCACACAATTTCTTTCACCGAGTAGATTGATAATTTGAATGCGGTTGCCTAATGTACCACGCAATTTCTTTCACCCAGTAAATTACTATTCAAATTGTTTTCTGTGCGCGTGTGCTTGCATGAGTTTGTGTGGACCACATACACGCAGGAGCCCAGGAGGTCAGAAGGGGTATCAGGTCCCCTTAAACTGGAGGAACAGGCAGGTGCAACCGTCCTGTGGGTGCTGGGAAACTGAACCCTGGACCTCTGCGAGAGCAACAAGTGCTCTCCACTGCTGAGCCATCACATCAGCTCTGACTTAAATCTCTGTTGAGTTCAGCTACAAGGAAAACTATGCAGAAGTCATTACCTTCTGTTTCTTTGAAAATAGTAACTATTTCCTCAGCTTAGCAAAAAGCTTCAAATTTATAACTGAAGTTGGTAAGACACTCATCTCTGATGGTCTCAAATGCTTCTATTATGAGATGAATTTAGTTGAATATCCTGTTTGAATAGTTAATTGATAGTATATTTTTGTTCTTTCTGGAAAGAATATAAATATGAAAATGAACTCTAGTTACAGGGCCCATTGTTTTTTATTTAATTTAATTTATTTATCTTGACACAGGGGTTCTCTGTAGCTTTGGAGTCTGTTCTGGAACCTGCTCTGTAGGCCAGGATAGCCCCGAACTCACTGTTCACCACCGGTCTTACTGTCTCTCTCTGCCTCCGGAGTGCTGGGATTATACTCTGAGTTGGTTGAAAGAAAGTCTGTAGTTCCTACTAAAAATGTATTGCTTGGTGGAGTGTGCGAGTCCTTGTACAGTTGTGCTGGTTTAACTTGGCCCTCTGGATCAGCATAGATCTGATACTTTCAGCTTTAAAAGACCTGCTTTTTTCTTTATTCAGATAGTTTCTAATCAGCGGTGAATTTCTTGCTTTATTGCCCTCTTTAGGCAGCTGTTGCATACTTGGCACACACGTAGCTCCCCCTCCCTAGGGCGCTGGGACAAGCTTTAGCATACTTGCCATCAAGCTGTTTCTATAATTTTAGCTTTGTTGGTCTTGCTCTGATTCTTGGTGTAAGTAGGACTCTATGGGACATAAATATATTATATCCCTACTATAAGCCAGTTGTGAAGACTCGGATAGACCTGATCTTCTGCAGTGTCCTGTACTGTTTTACCACCTACATCTGGTTTCGATCTTCCTGGCTGTGTACTGTAGATTGCACTGTCTGAGAAGGTTTCTTTGATGTCAGGTGTCAGACCCGGTTGTCCAGAAGGTGCTCTGAACATTGGAACAAAAGAATGATGCTGGTTCACACTGGTCTTACTTGTCCTCATTCAACACAGGACTTTCCTGTTGTGACTGATCTGAACAGCTGCAAACTCGTGTTCATCCTCAGCCGACTCGTGTGTGAGCCGCAAGACACCCTACCCTGTGTGGTCTTCATTGGCAGCGCTCTCTTTGCTGTGTGCGCTCCTTTTGTTACGCCCTCCTCGCCTTGTCAGTCATCTTCTAATCTTGATTGCTCTGACTCCCTCTTCTCTAGTTTCCGTGGCAGTCACGTTAGTGTGTCTTTTTTCATCAGCATATATTCTTGTGCTGTAGGTACTCTGGGTACTCTGGGAAATACTTGCTTGTCTCTGGTTATTTTGATTTTATCAGTTGCTTTTTAGTTGATAAATAATTTAGCATGCATGTTCCATGTCCCATATTTATACTTAACTTTCATTAACAAAACAAAAGGACGTACACATGCTGAAGGTCATTCACAGCTGATTGCTTTTTTTTTTTTTTTTTTTTTTTGAGAAAGGTTCACTGTGTAGCCCAGTTTGGCCTTGAGCTAAAAAATTTTCTGCCTTAATCTCATAAGTGTTGTGATTACAGGTGTGCACTATCTCTCTTACCCTTCAGCTTAATTGCATTTTTTTAATTGCATGTCTTTTTCAAAATTGCCATCATTTGAAAATAGTGAATTCTGGGTTACTGTTTCTGTGAATTTTAATTATAGTCTTAAAAGATAGCTGTGGGTTGGTGGCACACACCTTTAATCCCAGCACTTGGGAGGCAGAGGCAGGTGAATCCCTGTGAGTTCGAGGTCAGCCTGGTCAACAGAGCGTGTTCCAGGACAACAGAAACCCTGTCTAAAAAAACAAACAACAACAACAACAAAAAAGAGTTTCCAGGATGCCTAAAGCATATTTTGTTACAAAATCTCATCTGTAGTTTTAAGGTCATATGAAAGTGGTATGTTGGTAGGAAATATGCTTCCAGGTTTTTCCAGTAGTGGTGGATTTATATACAATCACGTTTTTACCCATTCACATTGTGACTCATGCTGTGTTTTCTGAGGCCTCTGGCCAGGACTAGTGTTAGATTACAGCTTCAGGATAAAGTAACTATCAGGTTGATTGTCTGTCTCCCTTGGCATTGTTATTTCTGGCACTGAGTCAGACACTTAAAATCAGTGGTAATCTAAAAATTATTTTGGAATTCATTATTGCTAGACCCTAAAAGAACTTTTAATTTCTATGTAAGGCCCAATAGTATTATGAACTTACCAGTACTTATTATCAAGATTTTTAAAAGCCTAATTACTACTCAAAAGTGTGACAGTTAATCCTGAAGCTGAGATTAGATCTTGTATACTTTTGTTGTTGTTGTTATTAAATCTCATCCTTAAAGGAAATTTTCTGAATATTTATTATTTTCAGTTGTGAATAACACAAGTCAAAACTGTAGACTCTTGGGCTTTTCCTAAAAAGGATCCTAATGTAACACATCACAATAAGATACTTTTATAAAATTACTATAATGGAGAAATTATGTGAGAGCATAAATAAACCAGACCAATGCAACCTGCATTGCAGCCAAGGGAAGGAAATAACCCTGGAGGGCACACAGGTCCAGAAGGCAGGAAGTTTATTTTGGGAAGCTGCCAAATTAATGCTATTGTATTAAAAACCACTGGGGCCTAAGGTTGCATGTGATTTAGGGTTTTGAATAGTGGAAATTCTCCTATTCTACTGTGGAATTTTTAGGGAAAATGTCCTTGAATATGTAAAGTACTTGTTATCTTTATGCCATCTAATTAGGTTAAATAAATGGGTGAATCTCCTAAAGAGAGGTTCAGGACCTGGAATGATTTTATAAGGTTGATTCCTACAGGAAGTCAGGTTAAAAATGGGGCTCTAGAAAGTGATGATGTCAGGAGGTTTCGGATGCTCAGAGTACTGTGGAAGATGTCCTCCGAATGGACAGCCATTCAGTTCCCCATCCTGCAGCTCTGTGACACGCAGCTAACTGCTCATCTTTCCCACTGTGACAGCCCCGGAGCCCACTGGAAGAACAGGCTGCCCAGCTCTTCCTTGCTGGGTACACCAGGCCCATGGTAGAACCACTGTCTTTCACAGACTATTGCCACTGCGAATGTTCTTGAGCTCTTTGAGTGCTTCTAGTTCAGATTAAATTACAACAGATACTGGACTTCAAATATAAAAAATGAACTTTAAAAATATGTTTAATGTATAATACCTTCCTCCACACAATCTAAAAACTGGTATGAAAAAATGAACTTTAAAAATATGCATAATGTATAATACCGCCTCCCCCCCCCCACAATCTAAAAACTGGTATGAAAAAATGAACTTTAAAAATATGCATAATGTATATTACCCACACACACACAATCTAAACACTGGTATGTGAGAAATTCCTATTTTTTTAAGGTTAGGTGTTGTGTGTGTGCATCTATCCTTGTCTGCCGTGTGCACGAGTTCACAGCTGTGTTTCTTTGTGCCTATGGATGATGGAGGTTGATATTTGGATGTCTTCCTCTTGTCCTCCATCTTATTTTTGGCACAGAGTTCCCTACTGAACCAACCAGGAGCAGACTGCTTTGCCTACACTGGCCAATGAGTTCCTCCACCCTCACCACCCACCTTTCTCCACTCCCAGCACTGGGATTACAGAAGCAAACTCCACCGGGCTTTCTTTTGTTTGTTTGTTTGTTTGTTTGTTTGTTTGTTTGTTTTTGTGGACTCAGGTCTTCATGACTGCACAGCCACACTTTACCTAATGAATTGTTGCCTAGGTCTCAGGTTTTATGTTTTTATTGCTCTTTAGTTATGTTTTGCAATGCTCATGATGGAACCCAAGGCTTCATGCATGCTAGGCAAGTCCTGGATCATTGAGTCACACAGAAGAAAGTTGGAATTAGATTTAACAGAGTACAGCAGAAAAGCTGGACTAATGGTGATTTACTGCAGTAGCAGCTTTTTCTTTTCCATACGAGAGCCCACAGAGTTAATGCAGTTGTGATGCAGTGGATCCGAGTGCCAAGGATACAGATTCTTCATGTGTCTTGGATTCCAAAGTTATCATATGAGCCAAGAAGGCAGTTGGAGCCTGACATTGCATTTTCAGGAGGAGGGACAGTTCGTCTCTTTAAAAGACATACTGTGGTGATCCCAAGTTGCCTTTAAGTTACTGTCTAGTTGTCTCTTGCATGGATGGCTCAATGGCCATGGCTAGCTACAAGGCAGTCTAGGATATTAGGTTCTGTAGGCTCTTCTCTAAGGCCTTGTGCTAAGTTAAAACTTGGTGGTTTTGACTTAAGGAGGCAGGCAGTGGATTCTCCCTGACACAAACAACCCTTTCAAAGTAAAAAGCAGATCCCTATGATGTTTGTGTAATTTGGAGATGCCTCTGATTGCAAGGCAGTGGTCACATCAAAGCCATTAACAAAAGCATCTAATATAATTACTAACAGTCTACATCTCTAAATTCATTGGTCTGCCACAGTAGTAATGTTTGGAAAAAGTCAATCGCTGTTATTGTTAAGTACCAGTGACACTGCGCAGTGAGGGGCTGGAAACACTGATAGTTTTCATACAACCCACAGATTCTGAGGAGTGTGTGGCTGTGAGGGCAATGGACAGAGCTATGCCTGAGGTCCTGAGCAAACTAGTCCTTAGGGCTCTGCCTCTCTGAGACACACCCACCATGGTTAGGCTAACCGGTGAGCCATTTTCCAAGAGTTCCAAAGCTGCTTGCTGTTCCTCTCCAATAGTCTCTGACACTGCAGAATTCCTATTCCTGATGGCAGCAAATGAGTGGTTGGTCAAGTAGGTACATGTCTCATCTTGAGTTTGTGCCTCTGTAAAAAGGACAAAAATTAATGGGTCAGTGACTGAGCTGAAACTTTCTTGACCTAAGCAAAGATGCCTGCCTGTAAAGGTAAAAACTAAAGTTAACAAATATTACTTTATTAATATTAAAAATATTCATTCATTATATTAAAGGGAGGTAACAAAAATAGAAACATTCAGGGTAAGTTTTGCTTTTCATATGATAGTTATTACAATAACAAAGTAATAGAGTTAACAAACACCATAATGTAGATAATAGCCCTGAAGGTATGTTATGGGCTTACTGTGTGTTGACTGTACGTTACTTGTGTGTTTTTCTCACCTAAGTCTGTAAAAGCTAGACAGTATAAATTGTCCTTTTCACAGAGAAGAGGTCTGAAGAGTGGGTTGGTGGTGGAGTCCAGGTCTGTGTGTAACACAGAAGTGACTGCTGAGGACGAGGTGCCTGAGAGTAGGCAGCCTTGCAGTCAGAGGACGGTTCCCACAGATTGACACTGCCTGTTTTCTTGCCATGTTGCCATTGGAGAAGTGTAAAGGCTCGTTAGTGAATTGAGATCTCTTTCTAGCTTTGAACATTCCTTTTTTCATATTGAAAGCAAATGCCCGGTGATTGTGTAGTTTTCATTTGCAAGGACAGTTTTACATTGAAGATCACATGAATTATGCAAGGGAAGACTTTCCCCTTCCTTCCCTGCCCCTCCAACTTTGCACAGCCATTTAGAATACTTGATTCTAGGGCTCAATCAGTGTCTGAACCCCTAAGTTCCTTTGTGTTTGTTTACAGTTAATGTGTTAGGAGCCATTGACATTTGAAGATCATCAGAAGTGAAGATAAAAGATCTCAAAAATTATAATGTAAGTGAATGGGAAACTACAAAAATTGGACAGAAATTAATATTGCCAGTAATATCTTTGGAATCCTATTTTACCCCAAATGAAATTTGTTCATATGAGTAATCAGTGACTTAAACTTTAGTCCCGTGTTCCAGACCAGAACATTCTGTGATTTCTTTTGCCTGGGGAAAGCAGTCATTAAGTTTTAGTCACCCAGTAATTTTCCATTAGACTTTGGGGTACATAGGTGCCTCCATGTACCTCCTCCCTTTTTTTCCCTAGGACTCTGACGTTTGATGTGAGAAAAGGATGAATAGGATAGAAATGGTATTTATGTGGAGACTTTGTTTTCTGGCAGCAGATGCATGTGTGGTCTATGTTGCTGCCGTTTTGTGTGTCATAAAGAGGACAGTTAGATGTAAGCCGTCTCCTCCCTTCCCACCTGCTCCTTCCACTTCTCTGTTTCTCCCTGCTCTGTTGAGTGTTCACTGTATCTGGGTATGATCTTTAACTGTTCAGGGCTAGATCCTGCATTTTTTTTCCCCTCCTGAGACAGGGCCTAATGTAGCCCAGCTTTGCAGCTGAGTGTGGCCATGACTTCTGATCCTCTCAAAGAGTGCTAGCACTACAGAACATCATTGCACTTGAGTTTGGGGATTCTTTGGATCAAACGATGACCTTCTTAAATGCCAGGCAAGCTCTCTACTGTTAGTTCCTGGATTCTTGATAGCCTGGTGCTGTGACAGCCGTATTACTGTTAGGTACATCAGGGCCACTCAGTGCTTTTCAGGTGCTCTGGAGACCTGCACATTCTAGTTCAGGTGGTGCTTGGTGAGCATGTGATTTGCAGTTTCTAGCCTGTACTGAATGAAGTATGAGAACCATTAGTTCAAATGCTTTTTGGAGTCCTAATCCAACTCCAAGAGTTTGCAGATGAGGGAAAGATGCTGGGAAGTTTATTTATCCAAAGACACAGTTAATTTTTGGAGGTTGGAAAAGGCTAGTGTTTTTCTTTGAAGTCTTCACAGGTCATGTATCTTTTGTTTGGCTAGACAGCCTTGCTTGGCTTCATGTTTGTAAACCCCTCCTCTATCCCACATGTCAGCATCATAACCAGTCCACCATTGTACCTGGAAAAATCTAGAAGCACAAAGATAACAGTTTCCCAGTCTTTAGCCAGATGTGTGGCTGATTCTGATTTTGAAATAATCATTGGGTAATAGTTTTGGTTGGGAAAGAGCTCTTTTTTTTCTTTTTTGTCTGTCAGACATTCACATTCTTGTCTGCATTGAGGTTCTGTGCTTCTGAAGATCTGACTTTTTGTAGAGTCTGTAAGTGGAAGTACAGGCTAGCTGTGCTGCAAGCCGCTCTGTTCATTGTTTTTCTCCCTTGGGCTCTGTGAAGCGCAGTGTTAGGAGTTGTTGAGTTTACTGTGTATGGAGCCACAGATACTGCCATTGATACTAACGTAATATTTTGTAACAGTGTATTTGTAATACTTTGGTATTTATTGAAAACTCTAAGGAATTTTGTTGTTTTACATATTTCATATTGTGTCTTATAGTTCCTGAGTTATACCTTGTATTCATAAATGAGGTTTGCCCAGTTTAAAAAAAGATATCCTGTAATGTTGGAATTACAAAAAAATTGGATTATATAATGTTACTACTCAATTTCTGAGTGTTTTGATGTATGTCTTTAAGGATGCTTTTCAGGTATTAATAATTTGCTTTTGTGATGTGGGTGAGGACCAAGCTGAGGCTTGCACTTGCTCAAAGTGCTTCTTGTACGTAGTTGTTCACCTCTGCACACTTATGATCATTGGCTTCGTAGATTCCAATTCATTATCATTGGTTTTGATAGGCTCAAATTTGCAAATAGGTCCTCTCCTGAAAGGGACTTAGTCTGGGAGTGTAGCTCATTGGTAAAGCCGGGGTTTGGCATGCACAGGCTCAGACCCCAGCATCATAAAGGACAAAGAAAGGGAAAGAGGACTTTTATTATGTAGTGTTAACTCCCTTCCAAAGACATTTACTTAAGAAATTTCATACATATGAAAGATACTTTAGAATGACACTATGTTTCTAGAATGATCTGGGATGTTAGAAAAACTAGAATGTCATAGCTTTAATGTAACTGTTACCTATGGAGTTGCCTTGTTAATTTAATTATAGATGTTTGCCATTGATTTAGTTTAAAATCAGAATGAAATCACTTGACCTGTTTATTTCTTGTGCTCAGATTTTATTAAATATTTAAGTATGTGTTATTTAAGTAATCTTTACACAAGTAACTTAAATTTCTCTTTCATTGTGTAAGTCTGTGATGGTTAATGTCATCTACTTAATAGGATCTAGAATCCCCTAGGAGATGGGTACCTTACAAGACTGTGGGGAGTTATCTTGATTTTGTTATTCCATGTGTGAAGACCCATCTTAATAGAGGTTGGGACCATTCTCTGCGGAAGGGAGACTTGTCTACACAAAAAGGAGAAAGTGAGCTGCACTCCAGTGCATTCATCTCTGCGTCTTGGCTCTGGATGTGAGTAACCAACCTATTGCTGTGACTGTGGCCAAGATGGACTTGACCCTTGAACTCTGACTTCTTTAAGTCCATTTTGTCAGATCTTTTTATCACAGCAACAGGAAAAGACACTGGAGCAGAATCTTAGTTATCAGTTCAGGTTATCACCTACACAACTTCAAATACTCAAGGGTACTATATTGGAAAACTTCTTCCAGCAAATATTCATGAAAGAAAATGATTAGCAAATAAATAAAAGAATAGTCACTTATCTATTCAGTGTAATCACAGAAGCTAATAAGCATGCAATTTGTGTTATGTGATTTCTCAGAGTCCTGATTTGATAGATACAGACTCAAAATTTTCCAGTGTCCCTGCTAATAAAAGATGGAACTGGAATTTGGATTTTCACATAAGTGCTCTGTGGTTTTTATTTCCAATATAAACTATAGAATGGAAGTGATGAAAAGTTCTTGGGATGTACATTTTGCTGGTTAAAGGAAATTTCTTTTGCTGGAAAGTTGATGACAGGCTCATCTTGTCCAGTTCCATTAAAGTCTGACACAAAGATCTCAGTTCATCTGGGCCTTCTCTTTCTCTATATTCATTTAAAACTACTTCAGAAAAATAAAAAAGGCATTCCTCAGTCCTGTCATAAAAATAAAGAGAAAATGAAAAAGCTAGAAGTAATGACTTTATGGTCTGTTATTTCGGGCAACCAACCAGAAATGTAGATATGTAGGGAACCATGTTCAAAAGTATGGATGCACACCATTGTCATGTAGGAGTCCATGAGCATTAACTATTCCAGATTGGGAGGAGGATGGGGTTTGGTGTGTGTTTTTTTTAGTGCTTTGACTTAGTGATGGGAAAACAAGCAAACAACCCAATTCCACTTCCTCATCTTCACTCAAGACTTTGAAGTCTGTGTGGAAAGTTAGTTAATTGGAAGAACAGTGACTTGTATAGTAATAGTAGCGTTTGTCCTAGGAAAGGACCTTCTTAGCCTAAGGAATTCATTTAATAGTGAATTTGCATATGCAAATAGCATGAGAGGATTATACAAAGTCATTTATTAAGACACAGATGGGGGCCAGAGAGGTGGCTCAGGTAAGAGCACTTATTGCTCTTGCAGAGGACTCAGGTTCAGTTGTCAGCTCCTACATGACAGTAACTCTGGTTCCAGGGGATCCAAAACCCTCTTCTGACCTCTAGGCATTAGGCATGGATATGGTGCACAGACACACAGGTAAAACACTCACACAAAATAAACAACTGTAAGAATAGTCTCAGTGTGGTGTATGTGTGTTCTGTGCTTTCTGAGATCAGAGTGTTGCCCAGATCAAAGCTTTACTGACTAAGCTGACTACCAGTTAGGGCTGTAGGTAACTTGAGTTATAATCTGAAAAATTCGGTTTAGAATATTTTTCTCAGTTAACTCATTTGTAAGGAACTTTTCCTGTAGGCGGCTTGTGAGTCCACTTAAGTAATAACGTCAGGTGGTCTCTTATACAATAAAATAATAAAATATAACTGGAGGAGTTATTTTAGGACTGCTGTGACTGTGGGGGCGGGGCGGGGCGGGGTGGGGCGGGGCGTCAGGGCTGGGCTCGGCCCTTGCTGGCTGGCCCCACCTACCTCCTGTTGACACTCATTTGATTACAGTGCTTTGGTGTTTACCAGTTCTGTTAAGCCATACTGTGGGAAAAAACAAGTCTTGCAGGCTGTTACCAGTATAAATTGGTTGTTCAGATTTATGTTGGAATTAACAGATCACATGCACTGAATTGATCTGGAAATAAAATGATACCAATGTATCTGTGTGTCCTATATGATCCGTGTTTACTTCCTTGGAATTTTCCAAAGTGCCAACCGGTGCCAGCCAAGGCTGTCAGAGCTCAGGTTCACTTTGTTCTCTGGATGAAGCCTCATTTCTGTCGTCAGATAACACACGGTTTGTGGCACCTCTGTTGTCCTTCAGATGGGTTACATTTAAACGTGGAGAGATGGCTCAGTGTAAAGGCTAGGCTCACAACCAAAACTGTAAACAGGGCTGGCAGAGCATTTGAAAACGGATTCAAAGTGCACAGTACTGTGTTCTGGTGAAGTTGTTTTCTGTTTTGGAGGCAGATATTCTGACAGTAAGTTTTTTGTGTTACAGAACACACTGCAGGCCTTTTATTATTTAAGTAAAAATTTCAACAGAGTGACTAACAGGCGCAAGCACACACAATGCTTAGGAAGGACACTAGTCCATTGTGTGAGTGTTGAGTGCAAAATTTGCATTCCTAGAAAAGCTTTCTCCCAATCCCAATACAGAACACATTCTTTAATATCCATGGGAAGCAGCATTAATAACAAGAAAACTCTCAAAATTACCTCTTCCTTTCATGGGATACTCAACAAAAATTGAATTGGCAGCGAAAGAAGCTGTTTAAACTAGGCAAGTAGTTTAGATCTTACTGCAACAACTGTGGTCAGCCAAGCCTGGGAGTGGA